TTGGGTTGAGGTTCTTTGGCGTTCTGTATGCTTCAGTTACCTGAATGTCAGATTGTTTCCTCATATTTGGGAAGTTTTCTGCTATTACTTCTGCCGATAATCTTTTCTTGTAGTCTAAAATATCTGCCTTTCTCTTAATTGTGTTCCACTACTACCTTTAAAAATATTTATTTGGTACAGGGTCTCACTATGCAACTCAGTTTCATAGTGATTCTCTCTTCTCAGCCTCCTCAGAGTTGGGATTACAGGCGTGTTACACCATGCCTGGTTTCAGTGGCCAACATGGTGCTTCTTGGCTTCCCAGGCTGGCATGGCACGTGCTACCTGGGATTGAATCCAGGTCCTTGTGCCCACCAGACAGGTACTTAGACCACTGAGCTATCTCCCCAACCCATCCACTAGTTTTAAGAGGTGTATGTCAATCCAGCATAAGACCATCAGCCAAATGACAATCAAAAATAAAAAGCTTATATGATGTGTCACTACATTTAGAGTTTCTCAGACCCTGAGCAGTTTAGTAAATCTCACATTTTAAAATTAAGGGCTAGATATTAAAGACATGTGTCTTAGTTACTTTTTACTCATTGCTGGCACAAATACCTGACACTCAAAATGAAGAAAGGAAAGGTTTATTTAGCTCACAGTTACTGGAGGGTTCAGTCCATATTCCCCTGGCTCCAAGGCAAACAACAGCAGTTCATGAGGCTGAAAAGAATGAAGAGCAGAGGAGGAGCGGCCGCTGTAGCATCTGTCAAGCCTCTGTCTTCCTTATACGCAGACTGGCGCTCCAAGTGAAGATCGGAGCTCCTCCACAGTGGCGCGGCTGCGAAGATGGAGCTCCTCCAAAGACTGAGACTTCTACACGGAAGCAGGGCAGGGTGACAGGAAGCCTTTCTCAATTCCTGGGCCCTGCCCACCTGCAGGGCTAGGCCCCCATGCCAGAACTGCAGAGAGCTGATTCAGCCAAGTTGACACAATGTATCAACTAACACGTGTAAGGTATATCTATAGATGCCTTATTCTTTGACCACATCCTATAGCACATTAGCTGGGAAATTGTTTGTGTTATATAATGTCTTGTGATTAGATGGAGATGGAGATAACTGACTAAAAATGTCATTCTATGCTAAGATGGCCATTTAAATATGATTCAAAGATAATAACATCACTGTGATTGTCATGCTAAAATCTATAATGTGACTCTTAATCTCAAGTTTCTCCGTAAAAATTGTAATTGTTATCTGATAACATTCTACAGGCATTCAACCTCTTTTAGAGTTCTTTTAACTAGCAAGGAAGAGAAAAATTGTTTGTAAGGTCAACAGGGGACTCAAAACTACCAGTGAAGCAATCAGGGGGTTAAAAAGGGGCTCACAATACCAGTTGAACCATTAAAGGGCTCAGAGTAAGTGCAAGAAAAGCCATCAAGGTGTTCAACTAGGCGCCTAAGGGTGCTCTGCTGGGGGAAGATCCCCCTTACTTCATGGGAGTTTGGACTAAGCAACGCCAACAGGTGACACAGCCTCCTCCTCCCTACTGAGTTAGTGGGTCCAAATAGCCACTCAGCCTGACCTAGATTGAAGCTTTGGGAGTAGTAGGTGTTGGCTTTGTTTCAGCCACTAAGTGTTGGTGACTTTGTGACACAGCACTGGACACGGGAAAGCTCCACTGCAGCATCTGCAGGCTTGTTCTTCCCATTTTACAAATGAAGAAACTGTCTCTATGCTAAACTGGGGTGAAGATACAACCCCAGGAATGCAGAGATTCTGTGATCTGGGTCTGGGTCACCGGAGACCTCCACGTACAGCCCTAGGGTCCTTGCTGCATCACTCAGGCCACAGCTTGGGACTGGGGTGGAAAGTGAAGGCAGGGGATAGATGACAAACAACTGTAGTCTTGGTAAGAAAGATGCACAGAGACATTTGCAGACAGTCCTCCAGTGCCATCAGTCCACAGCTCCCTCCCCCGTGCCCATCAGTGGCTCTGAGTGTGCCCATGGACTAGGACAGCTCAGTGTGAGAGGCCTGCAACCCTTAGTGCTGGGATTGGCGGGGCCTTGAAGGAAAGGGTGGTGGGTGCAGGTGGTGTATTGCATCAGGGAAGTCACAGCTGACAATGGGGAGTCAGAGTGGGATACATCCAGGCACTTGAGGGGCCCAAATTGGCAAGTGACCCTCCAGGAGTGGTCCATTTCCCGCCCTTTGTCCGAAGGGGCTGGAAGATCACTTCTCTCAGTACAGTGGTCATGTGCTCTGGGCAGGTTTCCCTGGGAGCTCAATGTGAGCTAAAGGTCACACTGGCCCAGATGGAAGTAGGTTCACTTGGGGAGTGGCCCGGGTGGGAGGCAATGGGAAGCAGCAGGTGTCTTGTGCCCAGCACCCCAATCACCTAGCCACTTCCCTGAGGTCCCTTGAGCACGAGGCTCCCCAAGGTCTCTCCATGTCACAGCTTCTGGCCTGGACACATAACCAAGCCCAACTACCCTGCCCTCCTCTTTCCTCTGGCTGAAGTGTTGCTTCAGGAATGGCCCTGTGACCCTAGCTTGAATTTCTTCAGTTCCTGGGAGAGTGGCTTATTGTCTCTGTGGGTAGTGAGCTGGTAGATGGCAACTTTTGCCACTAATGGTACTGATGGTGGTGGTGGGAGCTATCAGAGGATGTAGCCAGTGAGGACAACAGAGGTCTGGAGAAGAGTATTCCTAATATCATTTAAGCACCTAGATCCAGCTTCACCTGAAGCTAGAACCCCTAAACTTTTCAGTTAGTGTGGCCAACAAGTTTCTTTTCTCCCTGAGTCATGTGAGCAAAAACCCAATACTTAGAGGGTTTTCCATGGTCTGCCTCACGGTGGTAGAGGCCCGGCAAAATGATTGCAACCTGGAGAGCTGGTTCATTTGTTCTCAATGCCTTGATGCCAGTCACTAAGAACAAGCTACAGGGAAGCTTCCTGTTGTGCCCACCCTACTGATAACCCGAGTCTTGGCTGGAGGCTGCATCCTGGCCAGGCCATCCCAAGGCCCAGGCCCTCAGAGAGAGGTGGGGACAGGAGCCAGCTTCCCTGGTACACCCATATGTCTGTGTCTTCAGCAACACATGGCTGGACTGCCTCTCTGTGGGAGTCACTTTCCCTCATTCCAAGATAAGAGGGAACCCAAAGGCGATGGTGGAGAGGCTGTGAAGGGCCAGCCTGGAGGCTCACACTTGAGATTCCAGCCTAGGGGGGCGCAGCCCCTGGAGGAGAAACAGAGTGACAGAGACTAGAAGGGAGCCTGGATACCCTGGGCTCAGAGCTGGGGGACTTGGGAGTGTGCTGTGTGCTTGTCTTTGCATGTTTTCCTTACACCACTCTGGGAGAGTCCATGTCCCCACAGGATAGTCTCAGGCCTTGGGGGCAAAGTGGGCAGGAAGGACAGGAAGGAAGACACTGGGGCACATACGTGAGGGTCAGCCTGGGGGTGAGAGCAGAGGCCAGGATGCCCTGCAGCTGTGCAACTTGCAGTATAAGTAGCCGCTGGTGGAGCTAGTCACATAGATGTGGGCAATTGTATCTGCTCAGAAGACCTGTCCCTTCAGGGACACAGGTCACACTAGTGTCCCAGGCACAGGGCTGGGGAGCAGGCAAGACAGCCTGTGGGGGTTCTGAGCAGACTTTTCAGCCCATCATGCATCTCTGGATGTTCTCCCGACCAGCCATGCTGCTAGGCAGCCTTCTCTTCCTGATGGCCACCATGACGGCAGCCCAAAAGAAGGGACAGCAGGCAGGCAGTAGTATGGTGGCATATCAATTCAAGCGTGGCCAGTGCAGCTACACTTTCCGAGTGCCACACCTTCAGTGCTGCAGCCCCAAATCCACCACCTTGGGGGCTTCCAACAGCACTCAGCAAGAGGATTCATTCATGATGCAGATGAGGTTGTTGTTCGACCGTCAGACGGAAAAGCTGGAGAACGCACTGAGGAACAGCACACAGAGGCTGGAGCAGGTATGACCGGGTGGGGAAGTGTGGGCAGCTTCAGGGTGTCTCCATCAGCGGGTGTAGTGTGGGGTGCAGAGTCCTGCTGGCACAGAGGGCTGGGCCTTAAGATGCAGAAATTGGGATAGGACACCCAAGAGGGACACAGGAGGACCTGATGCCAAAAGAGAAGCCGGGGCAGCATCAGAGCAGGGAAGCTGGCTCTGCACAAATGTGTGTTCCGGCTGAGCACAGACCAGGGCCATCCGAGGTGAGCAGACAGCAGGGAGAGGGCAGTTCATCTGTTCTGGATGAGGGGCAGAAAGCAGCCATGAAGGGATGTCTACTGGGTCAGATGGTGATGCTGAGGGGAGGAGGGGAAGGGGCAGGGTGTGTGTGGCCAGGCCTAGCTGGCTGAGCTCAGATTGCTTGTGAGGATGGCACAGAGGACGTGGCTCTCCCTCAAGAGAACAAATGAAGCAGGTGTCCGCCAGCACACTCTCACTGAGGCACACGTGAGAGCCCAGGCTGCAAGGACAGAATGCAGTCCTGTGCTTCGGGACTGGGAGCCCTTTGCAGTTTGGGGCTGGGGAGAGCAGAGAGGTTGATTCTGGGGGAAGAGCTGATGAATCAGGTGCAGGGAAGGAAGTGAACAGGAGTCAGGAATGCAGCAGTGCAGGCAAAGGCCAGGGCCACAGAAGGACCCGATCATTGTCCCTGTCCTTCAGCCAGCAGTGAGTATCTGCTCTGTGCCCCAGTGAGGCAGGGTTGAAGGAGGTGTACTTGGCTCTGGAAGGTGTTACTAGAGACATGGCTGTGGGGTGCAGGGTGCCGCTGGTTGTGGCCCCTAAGCAGGACCTCCGAAGAGAAGACACAGCCCAGGACCTACAGAGTAGAGGGTGCGGACTCAGTTTGTGTCAGCAGTGGACAGCCCGGATGGGCCAGCAGATGGGAAGTGAGCATGTTCCCTAGAGAAGGAGGCAGGATGCTTCTGCCCCTCTGGCCTCCGAGTTGTTTAAACCTCATGTCCATCTAGTGGAGTTTGTTCCTCCATGTGCATATTTGTCATAGCATGTGTAGACACCCACACATATGATGTCACGTGGTGTGACACAGTGGAAGTGGAACTGCAGAAAGATGACATAGGCAGCCATGTCAGGGAAGGCCTGGAGCTCTGTCTATATTCCCTAAGGACTGTCTCCCCAACTGGCTGCATTTACCCACTCCCAGCATGGAGAGACTGTCCCTGCTCTCACCCTCCCTCTGTGTACACGGCCTTGCATGCAAATATTGACCCCTGTCCTTGCCCCTGCCCTGCCACTGCCTTCCACCCCTTCATACCTTTCCATCACCCCTCATCCACATGCACTCCACTCCCCCACCCCACGTACCCATAATCCTGGAGAGTACACTTGGCTTTCCAGATGAACGGGCTCCAGGCTGCACGGACTCTGTATTCATCTCCCCAGACCACTGTTTCCATGTCTTCTGAGACATCCCACGTCTTGGCTTCTCCCCCAGGCACATCTTTGCCTGTCTCTGCCTGTCCCCTTCTCAGACAGGGATCTCCTGCTTGAGTGAGACTTGGAGGCTGCAGAGAACACAGTGCACCCAGTGGGCCCCACCCCTTTTTTGGGCTCCTAGGGAAGGAGTCTGTCACTGTGTACAGACTACTCCTCATGCCCAAGGCCTAGATCTGGCTTTTGTACCCCTCAGTCTCCTGCAAGGACACTTGCCCCAGTCTTCAGGACTCTCTGTGGGTCCTTTGTCTCTGTAGTCCCCTAGGTAGAGAAGAAGGAAGAGGAAGCAGAGGACAAGGGAGGGATGGAGATCTGGAGCCACTTCCCAGCTCCCAGAAGGCTACAGGCTCTGCCCCTTCTTCTCCATTGCCATTTACCACTGGTTCTAAGACCACTCTAGTTCCCAAGTCCAGCAGCTCAGGTTTCATCTTCCCTGACTGTTAGCAAATTTAACTTTGGAGACCGGAATCACACTTCCAGGAACCGTCCCTTCGGCTGCCCTGGGACACCACACACCAACTCCATCTCTTTCCCCTCTCTCTCTTTAGACCCCATTGGGGCTGGCTGCCTCTGCCTTCTGCCTGCCTTTTCCCCTGGCCCTTCCTCCCGCAAAGATCAAACAGATTTCATGATCCAGCTCTGCTAGCAGGCCTGATGTCATCAGATGACACCAGGTAATGCTGGATGCCAACAGTGGATACTGCCACTCTTGATTCACTATCTGATGCCAATTTGTTCTGGATATCATAGGTCAACTCTAGTTCTACTCAGTAGGGTGCTGGTCTTCGTTGGCTGCATTCATCATATTTTAAAAATGACTGATTTGTCTACATTACTTACAATAAAAATCCCAAGTAGATTTCTAGGACTTTTGGATTCCACAATTCCCCTTCATGGAATTTTTTTGGTGGAATCAGGGATTGAATTCAGACCCTTGCGCTTGCCAGGGAAGCACTTATTCTACTGAGCCATCTTCCACCCCCGAAAGTGAGTCTTGATTGTAATATGGACTGTGCTGCAGCAGAGGGCACAGTGGTGCAGCACACAGAGGAAACCTGCTTAGATGGAAACCCCAGAAAGGCAGGAGAAGGGTTGCTTGTTCTGCACCTGCAGGTCTACTTCAATTGGGTGAGAGCTGAAAGCTTGCTGGGAATGTGAGTGTGCAAATAAGGGGCCCAAATCTTTCCCTTCCTGATGGTAGTCACTCCAGTTCAATATCTTTTTTCTTCAAAAACAGCATCTTCAGGAGTAGCAGGAGGATGGAGGGCCTGACTGCATGCCTGAGAGAGTAGAGAACAGCAGTTTGATAACCAGGGAAGACACAGAAGCCAACCGGGCTGCCAGGGGGAGCAAAGGGAAGCAAGGAGGAGGGGCAGATGCTGTTCTCCTGAGTTTCCCACCTAACTACAGAAAGCTGTACGTCAAGCTCTGAGCCTGGCTCACCCTCACACCTGGGTGAACAGCTGCCCCAGGAGTGCTGAGCAGCACAGAGTGCCGGGCTGGGTGGCCAAGTGGTCAGCCACAGAGCCTCCAGAGCACTGCGGACATTGGGACCCAGAACCAGCTTTCACTCAATGCCTCCAGGGAGGCGGTGTGTGTGTGTGTGTGTGTGTGTGTGTGTGTGTGTGTGTGTGTATGTGACTGGCTGCCCACCTGGATGCTGGGTAAGAGCTGGGCAGGCAGAGCGCTGCCCACCGCATGTTGCTAAGGTCTCCTGGCGAGGGAGAGCCCTCGTCCTCTACCTTCTGTCTGCTACCCAGAGAATGGCCCTTGCCAAGGACAGGAAAGAAAGGAAACTGGGGACCAGGCAGTAGCCCCAGGCTGGGCCACACACTCTAGCAGAGCTTACCTGCTTACTCCAGTCTCCTCGGGCTGGCTGTCCCTCTAGTCTCCCCCTATCTGTCCCTCAGCTCCTCCCCTGCTAGCCCCATGCCAACACCTCATGACTTTATGTCCCTGGGAGGCCACACTGGACACCGGGGACCCATGGCCCCATATCTGGTGGTCCCACCCCCAGTCAGGCTGTGGGACTGGGATCTCTCTTCTTCTTCACCCAAGCCAGGACTGGAGGTTCAAGGGCTGGGCTTGGGCCTCCCAACCTGGCACTGCCCCTGCCTATGCAGGTGGCTCTAGGTCCCTGATGCCAAACCTCACAATAGGTCAGCCCCTAGCCCAGCTGTCTCCAGGCCTTGCCAGGCTGAAATGGGGTCAAATGAGCATCCAGCAAGAGCAGTGTGGGATCAGGGCCAGGATCTGGCCAGGAGAGCCTCCCAACTGCTGGGACTCTGAGCTGTCCCAGCCTCCCCAGGCTGCCCATCAATTCTTGGCCTTTCCAGCCTTTGGTATCCAAACGAGGAGTGAACCAAATATCTTGGAGCTTGTTTTCTAGCCTTGCTGCTGGCATCTTTCTCAGCAACTGGGCACTGGGGGGCAGGTTGGGGCAAGCAGCTTTTGCTTCTTGGAGGGACAGGGTTACTTTCCAAGCATTGTCCCAGAAATGACTGGCCCAGATGTTCTTGGCCCAGGGAGGACCAGCTTTGGTGCCTGGGTGAGGCTGGGGAGCCTCAGTGGCAGCAGCGTCCTGGCTCTGTCCCCCAGAGGGATGGGCTTGTTTATTTGCTCAGTGGCTGGGTCAGAGTGTCCTGTGGGGCAGGGCCCTGTGTTTTTGGCTCTGTCCTTTCTGGCCCAAGAACTGAGGCCACCTGGAATGCACACATGTCTTTTTCCCTCCCCACAAGAAACCCAAACAGGCAGCATGATGACCCCAGCCCCACCTCCAGCCAGAGGCTGGAGCCTTTGCCTAACCTCAGAGGCAGTTGAGCTACCTATGGGGTTCAGGGCAGAAGAGCTAGAGTGAGGGTGTTGGATCCCAGGGCACAGCTCACCATGTGTGGGAGCCTAGGAGACACCCACATTGAGGGGCTTCTCTGTGAAGTGGAACTCAGGAGCTTCCTGCCTTCAGGAATTAGTGTGGGACAACAGGAGAAATGAAGGTGGGTGTTCTGCGAGCACCCAGCGTGTGCCATATACTGTCCCATGTGTTTTGGGCAGATGACTGGGATGATTGCATTTACTTCTCACAGTGACTATGGAGTGAGGTTGTCCATGAACAGATGAGGCACCAGAGCTTAGGTGAGTTGCCCAAGATCACATAGCCAGTGAGGGTGAGGTCAGGTTCAGTCCCAGGCCACCTGATGTCAGAACCCAAACTCTCAGCCATTTGGCCAGTTTACTGGCCTGGAACAAGACATGTCCACTGATGGAGAGTTCCTGACACCCAGGAGGCCCTGGGACCACAGATCCTCAGCTCTGTAACATCTTCCTGGGACTGCCAGAGGATAGGCAGGTGGTACCTCTGCCAACAGGGAACCCTTAAAAGCTGGGGTCCCCAAAACCTCTGCCTGGGTCCTCCATGTTAGACCCTCTGCACATGCAGCCCCACCAGGGCCTGCTGATCCAGCGTGAATCTGGCTCTACTGCTTGCCATGTCTCCTCAGACAGCCTCAGTTT